CTCCTTCATTAACTGAAGTTGGGGGGGCAATCTCCAAGCTGAAGAGTGGTAAAGCAGCAGGTATCTGCGGCATACCAGCTGAACTGTTAATGGCTGGTGGTGAACCTATGGCTCAGGGGTTACATACGTCTGCCATTTGGCGGTCCGGTACCGTTCCTCCTGACCTGTTGAGGGGTGTGGTCATCCCTCTCTGGAAAGGGAAGGGGGACCGTTGGGACTGTTGCAATCACCGAGGCATCACACTGCTAAGTATACCAGGCAAGGTTCTCGCCCACATCCTTCTGAGACATATCAGAGACCATCTACTGAGGCATCAGAGACTGGAGCAATCCGGATTCACTCCTGCAAAGTCTACAATAGACCATATCCTTACGCTTCAAGTCATTGTAGAGCGCCTCTGTGAGTTCGGGCATGGATTGCTTGCAGCCTACATCGACCTCAAGAAGGCGTTTGACATGGTGCATCGGGAATAACTCTGGGAGATCCTGAGACTGAGAGGAATTCTTACAAGGATTATTGGACTTATAGCAAGCCTGTATACTGGTACTGAAAATGCTGTAAAGTGTGGTGGGGGTCTGTCGAGCTTCTTCCCTTTAAGTTCAGGAGTGAGGCAAGGCTGTGTCCTTGCACCAACTCTTTTCAACACTTGCATGGACTGGATACTGGGCAGAGCTACTGTTCAAAGTCATTGTGGAGCAACACTGGGCAATATCAATGTTTCTGACCTTGACTTTGCTGATGATGTTGCTATTCTATCTGTCTCTGGAGACCCTAGTGGTGGCTCTGGATGCATTTAGCAATGAAGCGAAACCCTTGGGTCTAGAGGTCTCCTGGACCAAGACCAAGATCCAGGACTTTGGAGACCTGCTAGGAGAACCTGTTCAGTCAGTATGTGCTTGCGGCAAGGACATTGAAGTCACAGGGAGCTTTACATACCTTGGTAGTGTAGTTCATAACTCTGGGCTGTCAGACTAGGAAGTCAGCAGATGGATTGGCCTGGCAGCAGGGGTCATGAACTCACTCAACAAGAGTATTTGGAGATGTCGGTACCTGTGTATAAGGACCAAGCTACAGGTTTTCAAGGCCCTGATAATGTCAGCTTTGCTGTACGGTAGTGAAACCTGGACATTGTCCTGTGCCTTGGAGGCTCGTCTTGAAGCCTTTTGTAATAAGTCCTTGCACCGGATCATAGGGTACTGTTAGCGGGACAATGTGTCCAACCAACGGTTACACCGTGAGACTGGCACAGGACCTGTTATCTGCACAATCCGTGATCGCCAACTCAGGCTATATGGCCACCTGGCTCGCTTTGCTCAGGATGACCCTGGCCATCAGGTAGTTTCTGTTAGAGACAGCCCTGGATTTAGGGGGCCTGAAGGACGACCTAGGAAGAAGTGGCTTGGGCAGATGGACCAAACCTGTCGTGAAGAACTCGAGATGGGCCGAGTCCCTGCCTGGCGACTTGCCATGAGGGATCCTCGTGGCTGGAAGGGAAGGCTGGATGCGGCTATGCGACCCCGTCGGCGTTAGCCCCCCTTGATTGATTGATTGATTGATATATATACACGCATATGAATATGTATATGCATGTGCATATGCCTATATATATGCATATGATTATGTATATAAATATGTATATATAGTATATATATATATAATATATATATATATATATATATATATAGTATATATATATATATATATATATATATATATATATATATATATATATATATATATATGTATACATATATATTAAACATATACCTCACACAGACACACACACACACACATTCATATATATATATATATATATATATATATATATATATATATATATATATATATATATAGACATATATATATATGTTTATACATATATATGTATAAATTTATCTGTCTATATATCTATGTATATATATATATATATATATATATATATATATATATATATATATATATATATATATATATATATATATATATATATATATATATATATATATATATACATATATATATACATATATATATATATATATATATATATATATATATATATATATATATATATATATATATATAACATATACATATATGAATGCTATACATATATATGTATAAATTTATATATATATATATATATATATATATATATATATATATATATATATATATAATATATATATTATATATGTATATATATATATATATATATATATATATATATATTATATACATATATACATATATATATATATATATATATATATATATATATATATATATATATATATATATATATATATATATATATATATATATATATATATATATTACATATACATACATATATATATATGTATATAAATATATGTATGTGTAATTTTACATACATACACACACACACACACACACACACACACACACACACACACACACACACACACACACACACACACACATATATATATATATATATATATATATATATATATAT